AGTAAGCAGCGGGTTCAGACTGCTTGTACTGCGCGAGAATCCGTATCCTTCTATCCCACAAGGTGAGAAGACGCCTATCAGGCTTTCGATCGCCCCGCCGTGGTGGTCTAGTGGCTAAGGTACTCGGCTGCTGACCCGCATGTCACGGGTTCAAATCCCGGCTGCGGCGGCTGCATTTCCGATGGAGGCGGAAATGTTGTAGGCCCGTGTGCTCAGATTTGGGTGCACGTTAAATAACCCCAGGTGGTCAAAATTTCCGGAGCCCTCCACTACGGCGTCTCTCATAATCATATGGTGGTTTTGGGACGTTAAACCCCACATATCAAATCATCTATCAAACTTTCGATGGCCAAAAAAAAACCCATGGGTTCTAGTTGGCTAGGCGCTTCGCTGCGCATAGCTGTGATAATCTAAGGTCAACGTGTTTGGCTGGCCGCTGTTGATATCACAAATGGTGTTATTTGCCCCAAGGTGTCATGTGGGCCAAACATGTACTGGCGCGTGACCACCATCGTATTGGCGCCGCCTATTCAAAAGTGTATGAGTATGGGGAAATGTTTGCTTCGTATACAAATCATTCATCACCTCCCACTGAAATAGCTGTTGACGGGTGTTCCATGTATTGTCTGGTGATGTAGCTCATTCTCTAGTGGTTCATTCAAGCCTTGTGATGGTTTGGGACGTTTAGTGGCGAGAGAAAAGATGTGAGACGACGCCGAAGGCGGCCGACGGGTCGTGCTCATCTCGCCACTGTATTCAAGATCTCAAGTGGAGCCGCAGCGGCTGCCAGTGTCTGGCACACTGGGCGAGTGAACTCTTTCTGTTCTAGCGCAGCTCGAGCTATGTATGAGCTGCGAGAGAGGCATAGTGCGGTGGCCATGAAATGTAGATGATATTTAATGTCGATTATGACGACGCTACAAGATGTATTTAGCGGTGTCAGCCTTTACTGCGAGGCATAAATGATGCTTCTTAACGAGAGGGCGGCATCTTTGTCCACAGGCGAAATGCTGTGAGTTAAGTCTCCGCAGGACAGTATGGCATCTGGCGAATAAATCTTTCGAAGTGCGAGATGAAGCTGAAATCAAGCAGCGCCATTTTGGTTTCATTCCTTAGGAACCACGCAAACGCAGAAGAGAAGAATTTATAGTGCGATGAAACTTCCAGCCTGAAACCGATAACACTAGGAACAGTGCTTTACCGTGCTTTCGTATATAAATGCACTTGCGAAGTTCCCCACAGCTCGTACAACGCTGCCTTCGTGGATGAAGCTAGTTGTCCAGACGGAGTGTAGCCGTCGTAGCCCATTATATTCAGCCCATAGCTCTTGACCCATTGAAGTAAAATGACCAATGAACTGGTGTCATTTGTCTTCCTGGAGAGCCAAGTGGTCATTTCAACCCTCTTGCTATGAAGCGAATGGCAATGCCACTGCAAGACAGTTGTCCATGGCGATGATATTGAAAAGCTGTGCATGTATTGCTTTTTCCTCTATATAATAAACTTTTTTTTTCATGCAAAGCTTTATTGCACGATAAGCGATGAAGTTTCCTGCTGTCGTGTGCTGACGTACCGGGGCTGGGATGATGATGAAGTCTCCGGAGGCGCGAGCAGTGCGAGCGTTAACACTTCGAAATAAATATGTAGTTTTTTTCAACTCAACGTAGCAGCCTATATATTCCTCTGCTGCCCTCCTCTATGATGGTTACCGTTGTTGGCCGAGTGAATCCTTCTCGGTGCTCGAGCGTCATCTTTAATAAACTTGCTGCTACAAGAACTGTTTTTTCAGCGTTTGCCACCCAAGTTAAAAACAGTTTTGACAACAGGGTAAATGATGACTCTTTTCTGTTTGGCCACTCTCGCCAGCATGGTATACGAAATAGCGCCTTTTCAGATACTGATAGGTGATACAAGTTCCGAGAGTCGCCCATATACCACGCTTTGCAGCGACGTGGTCTACCAGTCGGTCGTCAACTCCAAATACTTCCTCGTCAAGGCAAGACGTCATCACTGACTTTCGCGCTGACGTACAGCGGCTCACACATCTCATAGTGAACAGCCTCACCACAACGGCTGACGGCGATTCCATGAGACATTTTAGACCTGGACAAAGCTACAACTGATATCGACCTACATATCCAATGCATTTTCAACATCCGCCTGCAAAATCTTGTTCGTAGTTTCGGCCAGCCTGCTGGTACCACCGATATTGCGGACAATCTGGGCAGCGTTGCACACTACCACGTAACTGTACGGGAAACGGCATCGGGAACAACTAACGGCGACGAGTGACTGCCGCCGGTCTCCAAGTCACCCGTTTTTTGTTCAAGACTCCATCTGCGGACTTCAGTTTCTGGTCGACACAAGAACAGTTGGAGCGTACTACGCACTCGTAGCATAGACAGAAAGTCAAAGCAAATCCATGCAGTGAATGATGATGAGTGGGGCGAAGCGTCTGTCTCTCTGTCTGTCTGTCTGTCTGTCTGTCCGTCCGTTCATTCGTTCGTTCGTGCATTCATTCGTCCATGCACTGCTGTCATACTACAGAATGAATCGGATTGGAGCCAGCGCCTCTACACTGTCTAGTGAATGATCCGTGCACTAGGGATGCGAGCGCCACAGCGCCATTGCCATCTAGTGCGTGCTTCGAGTACTAGCACTGGCTACCACAACTACGACGACGCCGCACTAGCCGACACCCTTGAGAGCTTCACCCCTAAAACTGTGGGCCAGTCATGCCATTACAAGCTATGAACAGCAGCAAAAGCGTTCGCCCCGTATCTGCAAATTTGACATCAACTGTCGTCGAAAGACGATAGTCTTCCGTCTGAAGAAATTGAATTAAAATATAAATTGATGTATTATGTGCGAAAACCCATGAATTAGATTCTGGAGGCACCGCATGAGACAAAGGCGCCATCTGGCAGTAATCTCGAACAATTAAAGTATCGCCTCAAATATAGCAAGTACGCGGCGTCCGTGCGAGGTTTCGGAAGCCGTATGTTCTAGATTTGAAGATGCAGCAGCACCGTATCTTTATAGCAAAGTGCAAGAAAAACACGCCTTTTCGTGCATAGCGTCGCATTGCCAGCGCAGCCTAAAAAACGCTGCAGTCCTTGGTTATGTATGCTTTTTGCAGTATAAGAAGACAACAAGGAAAACTCAAGTTCTGAAGTATGCCCCAGATATGCGCGATATTTGCTTTTTAATCAGCAATCACACAAGTACAAATGCAGAAATTATATTAATATTGGTGAGCGCTGTGATTGTGGTTCCAGTTCAGCCGTTTTGGTTGACAGACAAGTAGACTTACAGACAGACAAACATTTTAGCACTGAAGTATCCCAAGACTATCGCCTTTATTAAACGTATGCTGTCGAAGTCCGTTATGCTGATTGAGCATGAAAGAATATTCAGGTGGATCATTGTAGTCGCTTCTCTCAGTTATAAAATAAACAGTGCCGAATTTTTGTGGACTATGGCCTCCTGGTATGCATGGCAAAGAAGTAGATTCTGACTCCACTACTGGGTCAAAAGTGTCTGACGTGGCTTTCTCCATCGAGCCATACGCGTTTAAAACACACCACGTTTTTCCAGAGCCCTAAGCCGCATGAACTGAGTTTCCCTCCCTTACCATTGCACCTGCCTGGACTAAACCTCTAAGCCATATAATCGAACTTCCCATCATTATTAGTAGCCCACCGTGCCATGCGTCATCTCGTCGCCTGGCACTAGAGAAATTAACCATAGCCAAAAAGAGTTAGAACATATGCAGAAAATCAATTGTTCGTCTTTCATGTAGTGTATGGTCGTCACATATACAAATCCTACTCAATAACAGCAGTGATTGGCGTCCATGTGGAGATTGTCGTGGTTTGAACGCAGCGACGATTCCTGATAAGCACCCCCTGCCACACACTCATATTTTACGGCAAGTATTCGTGTAGCCAAAATATTTGCGAAAATTCCTCTGCCAAAGACACATTGACAGATCTTCATAAGGCTGGAAGATATTAAGAAATAAAGATCACAACTCTCTTTCGATTGTTTGGATTTCACGAATGCCATTCGGCCTGACAATGCTGCGCAAACATTCAAACGAGTGATTTACATAGTCGTCTGTGGGCTACCATATGTCTGTGCTTATATTGATGGCGTTCTGGTAGCCAGCTTGTCAAAAAGAATTCATTACAAACACCTCCGTCTGTTTTTATCCGACTTCAGGAGCATTGTCTTGTGATTAATTTGGATAAGTGCCACTTTGATATGATGTCAGTGAAGTTTTTGCACATACTGTAAACAGCGAGAGCATCAGTTTCAGTTTCAGTTTCAGTTTATTATTCATTTCAAAAAAAGTAGTACAGTAATATTAATATACAGACGGGGGTCCCAAAGTTAGAAACTGTAACGGGACCCCCGACGAGGGTCCCGAAGTTAAAAACTGTAACGGGACCCTCGATGCATTATAACAATCAATAAATCAGATCAAGTTAACAAGCAACGAGTGAATGGAAATCAATTATACAATATAGAGTGATAAGTAATTATTATAGGCTAAGTGACACATCAGGCAACAAAAAGCAAGGCAAATAAGGAAAGAAAAAAGAAACAACGAAAAAAAAACATCTCGTTCAGTGGCGGACATTGTCGATCGAAATGCAATGATCTAAATGGCATAACTAAAAACGCAAAGCCCCCAAAATGCACATATACAGGCAGCTATTAATTTAACAGAAAACTTTTAAGCGACTTTTTCAATGATGACAATGTGGGCATCGTTTTAACAGAAAGAGGCATGTTATTCCAAAAAGTAATGGCCGCATAGGCAGTGGTCATTTTTCTATAATTGGTGCGCGACGCGGGTAGCAAAAAGTTAAGGTTCATTGCAAATCTGGTTACATTGTTGTTTTGTAAGAAAACTGAATCAATGAACTCAAACGGTAACAGTGCATTGCGCAATTGAAACAGAAGAACGGCTATGCTATAAAAAAATAACTTACGAACAGGTAGGATTTTGTTGTCTTAGAGTAGATGGCCTGCACTGGAGTATCGTGAGCTATTAGTGATAATGCGGATCGCCTGATTTTGTATGTTCTGAATGGGTGATAGATGACAGTCATACGTGTTTCCCCAAGCAGCGATACCATACATGATATGGGAATGAATGAACGCGAAATACAGAGACATAAGTACGTTTATATCAAAAACTTCACGAGCTTTTATTATAGCCCGAATTCCGAATGCAGTTTTCTTTCTGAGGTGATCAGTGTGGAGATTAAACTTTAAATGGCAGTCAAGATGTACACCAAGAAAAATTACAGTATCACAGGTGGGTATAGAGTGAGGACCTAGGGTTAAGGGTTGATGAAAAGGCAATGGCCTTTGAGCGGACCTAAATATCATAAACTTGGTTTTGGCTGGGTTAATAATAAGTTGGTTCTCGTAGCACCATTTACTAATATCTAGAAGTGTGTTATTCAAGTGTAAAGTAAGAGCAGTTAGAGAGTCCTCAGCTGCAGTTATAGTCGTGTCGTCGGCGTATAACACGCAGTGAGTTGATTTAATTGCATCGACAAGATCATTAATATAAATAATAAATAATAAAGGGCCCAAAATAGACCCCTGGGGCACGCCTTGATTGATTAGCTTAGTTTCAGAAGAAGCGCCTGATACGTACACCGAGCATTCTCTATTGTGCAGATAATTTTTCAGGAAGGTTAATGGAGCTCCAGTTACCCCATAGGCCTCCAATTTGTTAAACAGGGTGGCATGATCAATGGTGTCAAAGGCCTTGGTGAAATCTAGGAAGACAGATCCAACAAATCTACCAGAGTCAATCAATTTTTTTAAGTAATCTAATAATGAAACTAGTGCTAAGCTTGTCGAACTGCCTGAACGAAAGCCAAATTGACACGGATGAAGTATATTAAATTTGCTTAGGTAATTACTTAAACGATCAACGAACAGTTTTTCAATAACTTTGCTGAGGGAAGAAAGAATTGATATGGGCCGATAATCAAGCGCTACCTTTCAAGGTTCGGGCCTTTGTGAATTGCCCTCAACTAAAACTCAATCTCACAACTCTGGCGTTTACTCAGTATAGTGAATTTTCACTGGTGCTGCATATCTTCTTGTGCCACAACGCTGGGACTGATGAATACCTGCCGGTTCACCCGAAATCAACCTCGTCAACGCCAGGCTGGACAGATTTTGTAGAACTAGCTTTGTCTGGGATGAAGGGCATGCTGGCTGGAGTAACATTCTTAACTTATCCAAAGCAGCATGGCTTCACCAGTCTTCTGATAAATGATTCTGGTGTGGCAGCTGAACGAGTTCTCTAGTACTTCATAACAGCTGTTGTGAACCCCGTGAAGGTTTCTCGAAAGAGCTGTCGGGACTCCAGACTTGCCACAGTGTTTTTGGCTTCAAACTTCTTCCATGTTACCACGCCCTTAAGCCCTTTCGCTATTTTCACGAACTTAATTTCTCCTTGCCCACGGACCACTAGCCACTAGCTTGTGCGCTGAACTCTGCACGAACACATCACCCTCTGAGAGAGACTAAGCATTTTGATTACCTTGTAGAGTTTTCAACGCGGGCTGAGCACGTCAAGGACGTGTTGAATATTCTGGCCGATGCACTCAGCCGAGTCGAAAAAATAATACACGTGCAGGTAGCCGACCTACAGTTTGCATCAGTACAGTTGGATGATGAAGATCATCAGAGCATACGTATTGTTCGAAAAACGTTTCTCCACCAGGCACTGCCCCAGCACTAGCGGACGACATGTAAACCGGCTCGCCAAGACCTTCCGCACCGTTCGCTTTAAGGCTGAAAATATTTGAGCAATTTCATACACTTTTCTCATCTTGGCTAGGGAGCAATTCAGAAATTCCTGATTCAACGTTATGTGTGGCCTGTAATGAGCCCTAATCTCAGAATTAGGGCTCACAGATCGGTGCTTTGTCAGCGATGCAAACTACGATATACCAGAAGTCAATTTTCCAGCGACCATTTTCACTAGGTACAGACAGATATTTTCGGACCTCTTCCTTCTTCTGAAGGATATTTTTACCCTTCTGCAGTTGTCGACAGGTTGAGTAGGTGGCGAGAAGCCGTACTAGTCAGCGATATTACAGCCGAAGCCATCACTAACGATTTCGTTAGCATCCGGGTTTCACAAATGAGAGTTTCTGAACAAGTGGTTACCGACCATAGCAGAAAATCTGAATCTGCATTATTTCACCACTTCTGACGGCTTTTAGGAACGCACTATCTCCGCATAAGAGTACATCACGCTGAAAAAAATCACCTGGTAGAGCCCTTTCACAGGCAAGTGAAAGCAGTGCTGATGGCTCATGGTGACACTGGCCCCTAGATTGACTCTGCTTCCATAGCGTCTTGGTATATGAAGTACGTTTGAAAAAGATTTGCGATACGCTTTGGTGTAGTTAGTTTACGGCCATTCACTACAACTGCCTGCTGAGTTCTTCTGTCATCAGCCTGCTCAAAAACACAAGCTGGATCTCTATGCTTGCACGATGTTTTCACGGCGTTTCGGCTAGTGGCGCCAAGGCATAAGTTGACACCAAAGCCGTTTCTGTTGAAGGACTTACACACCGCCACTCACGTTTTTCTTCGAACAGATGCAGTTTGCAAATGACTGCAACCACCGTACAGTAGACCACATTAGGTGACGGAGCAGCAAGGCAAGCATTTTACTATGCATTGGGGCGACCGAGAAGAAAAAGTGTCAACCGACCCACTGAACCCCGCTTGAGCCCAGACCTCCACGAATGATACCATCTTTCCAGTTTCTACACCCCAACTTTCAACCTTCACGAAGCCATTTGCAACAAAAACAAAGCATGCACACTGGTCTGACCAGCACTCCGTCTATACGGCGGTGGTGAGCCGATGTGAGGGGCCTGTCACATGCTGACGTGCTGTGGCTGCGGCGACAATGAGGTCAGCGGAAGCACGAGCAGTGTGAGCATTTGGATTGCGAAATAAATCAGTAAAAATAAATCAGTAACTTGTAGAAGCTCCCTTGGCAGGTAACGCAACAGTCAAGGCAATCTGGCCATATGGGCTGCAATCCCAGAGGCTTCTTTACACTTGGCGAGATGGATAAAAGAATCTTTTTGAAGAAAGCGGCTGCCGACAGGCAGCCGCACCAAGTGGGGGGAACGGCTACTTCTTGTATCTGTGCAAGAAGTGCACGTGGGGTGCGTGTGGACCCCCCTGTCACGGAGGTTGCCTATAAATGTCAAGTATGCTCCCGCACGTTCGGATCGCCGAGAGGCCTAAGTGTCCACCAAACCAGGGCTCGCTACAAGCCAACAACAACCACTGTCACGAAAGTCACTAAGCCAGACACCGAGAAGGCTCAGGCTGCCAAGGACGATAAAGCACGAGAAGGAGAAGCAGGGGCTACAAGAGATAGAGCTGAGAGCATCAAAACCTGTACCAGGAAATGTACCAGCGGAAAAGCTGTCAAAACCAACAACTGAAATGACCAGTGAAAGTCAACTCTCCGCCAAAGTTCCCTATCAAGAACAATGCAAGGGCAGAAGGAAAGCCAATTCTGATCACACAGCACTCGAAGTGTTGGACGCGGCGGTGGCGCACACACCGACCGGCCACACTCTGCGGGCGTCAGTATGTGTGGATAGAGAGGCTATTCCGGCCCGCCGGATCCCACTGTGATGATTTCAGCGGTTGTCTGCGAACCACCCGGAGGTGTCAGCGGTGGGGAAATCTGGCGTACTATGGTTGCAAGGCCGGAGAACGGACGTGACACACCGCCTGGCGGATTGGCCGGCACAAAGGGCCCAAGGCGCATAGCTCCTAGTAGCAGCGGTAACTTGATGGCCTCTACCCCCCTGAGACCGTCAATTGCGGAGAGTGAGCCCGAACCTCATTTGGTCACGGCATCAATAACAGAGGTGACGCACACACCTTTGAGCCTTCATTTGGGGGACACAGCTGATCGGGACAAAACGGCTCCCTCTGCTTGTTCAGTACCTGCTGTGCGGACTGCGGTGGTCGTGCACAGACCGACTGACGGCAACAGCCAAGGGTCAATCTGGAGGAGTTGAGGGGTAAGGCTAAGAGGTCAACGGCGTCTACCGTCTGGCCTGTTGTCTGACACATGTGACAGCGAGAAAGACCCTGCGTTCTGCAGAGGTTCTTCCTCTTTTTCTCCCCCGAGTGGTGTACTAAGAAATAGAACAGCTGCATCTGCCACCCCAATCCAGTCTTTGGAAAGAGGCAGCATTGATGATGACAGTGGTCCGAAATGTCCTGAATGTGGCCGGCTGATTGGAACCGAAATTGGCCTGAGTCAACACAGACGACACGCTCATATAGAGGCCTACAACGCCGACATTGACGTCAAGAGGTCTAAGCCACGATAGACAAAAGAAGAAGAATACCCTATGGCGATATATAAGGTGCAGCTGCTACGTGATAAAGTTTACAATATCAACCAAATGATGGCCAAAAATTTCCTTTCTAGAACATTTGACGGTATCAAGTCTCATAGAAGAATGGCCCGATACCAGACCCTGGTTGAAGAACTATTGGCAAGGAGTGATGCCACGAGAAGGCATGGCAATGAAAAAGAAGAAGAAGAATCACTGTTTGAAGACAGTCAGGCAGCCCTAGAGGATGTTGAGTTCATTGATACGAGAGCTGCCACTGCAGAACAACTCCTCACACTTGTTTCAAGGCCACCTTCCCGGTCTTTTCAAGCTTACACACTGTGGGAAATCACCGAGCGTTTCCTGGATGGAAAGCACGTCGGGTTTGCCCTGGGATCCTACCTCGTCGAGGTTTTCACTGATGTGAGAAGGGCCCCTAGTAAGCCAAAAGTAAGCCACATCCTGAGAGTCGTCGGAAAAAAAACGACGAGCATATGCAATACGCCAGGACCTATTGAAACACAATCAGGAGTATCCTGGACGAAACGGGGAAGTCACAAGTCGAGGACCCTGCTGCCTTTTTAGAAGAGTGGCGTGAGGTATTGGAAACACCCCCCGAGACGGCTTGCTAACAGTGAATCGAAGCGGAAGTGGGACTATTGATTCCAGATTCCTCATAACGGCACAAGACATAAAGTCGGCCATGCCACTACGCAACACAGCCTCAGGAACAGAT